CCCCTGCGGGGCTGGGGACCGGTGGTGGCACGGAGGGGACACCCCGGATTGTGCTATTGGTACGCTGCCAGGGAGAGAGCAGGGTGCTGACACCGGGGGGACAGAGATGGGGAGCGTCCGGGCACAGGCAGGACAGGGAGGGAAATAAAATAGTGACCCAGAAAAAGAAGATTCCAACCTTTTTTCCTTTCTTTTTTTTTTTTTTTTCTTGTCTTTTTTTTTGTTGTTTTGTTTTTTTGTCTTTTTTTTGTTGTTGTTTTTTTTTTTTAAAGTGCAAAAAGCTCTCTGCTGCCCTAGAGAGAGGTTCTTTGGACCAACCATTCATTGCAAAGGAAAATCGGCAGCAAAAAGGGGGTGGGGGAGAAGGAGAGGACGGTGCCAGTTCGGTCCCAGGCCGCAGAGCAGCCCTCGCCCCTCCGGCCCCAGAGTGCTTTGTGGTGCCGGGAGCTGGGGAGGAAGAGGAGGCAGGCAGCTCCTGTCCCCGCCCCGTGCTCACTCACCCCTGGCTGAAGCTTCCCAAGTCCTCCCTGAGCTCTGGTGTACCTGTGGGTTCTCCCCTGCTCCATCCCCTCGGACAGACGAGTTATCCCCCAGCCCCTGCTCCTGGGACACCCCGACCATGGGGCTCCTGCGCTGGGTGCCCAAAGAACCGCCCGGATGTGTGGGAGGAGGAGGGGGATGGATAGCAGTCCCTGCAGCCAGACGAGGGGAAGGGGAAAGTGGGGGGAGAGCGCAGGAGAGCGCCGAGCTGGTGGTGGCACAGAGAGGGACGGGTGTTCTGGCTCTGCTCCCACTTCCTTGGCGAGACCTCGACCCTCAAGCTTTGTGCTACCGGGGAAGTGACAAGTGTTTCAAGGCAAGGAGACGATGGGGAGGAGGGAAAAGCTGGGGGGAGAGGGTGCCCCATTTCTCTGCACAGAGGCCTCTGTTACAGCCCCTGCCTCAGGAGCGGCAAGCTCCGGGCCGAGGCTCCCTGCCATGTGCCCGTTCCTCCTCTGGTACTGGCCAGCCTGGCGGGACATCTTCCTCGGCAGAAGTCCCGGGGAAGGAGGAGGAGGAAGGACATTGGAGCATGGCCAGCAACAGCCCTGCCTGCCGAGTCAGGTGGGAGGCAGCGGCAGGACACGCAGGGCAAGGGAGGGGAGATGGAGGAGCAGCTCTCCAAGAGGGGTGGGATGGGCTCTTTTCCTTCTCCTCAGTCTGCCCCGGGGAGGGTCTCTAGCTGATTTTTTGGATCAGCTTCTCATCGGACAGGCAGTAGAGGCTGTTGATGGACAGGTCCGAGATGAAGTGCTCACAGGCTTTGCGGGTGATCTGCTTGCAACCCCGCAGGTCGATGAGGGTGACGTTGGAGATGCGGCGCAGGTAGAGCAAGGCCTGGTCCGTCAGCTTATTGCAGCCTGCGGGCAGAGCACGGGGAGCGTGAGGGGGACACCTCCAGCAGCCGGCGCTGGGAGGAGGAATGGGAAATCCAGGAGGCACCTGGAGCAGGGCACGCACCTGCCATGTTGAGCTCGGTGAGGGAGTTGCGTGTGGAGGAGCCCACGGCGGTGAGGAGGTTGGCCGACTGGTCCGTGAGGTGGTTGCAGTGGCTGAGGTCGAGGCGGGAGAGCAGGGGCATATGGCGGATGATCAGGCGCAGCGTGGCGTCCGTGATGTCCAGCCCGGCGAGCCGGAAGTCGATCATGTTGCGGAGTTTGCTGCGATTGTCCTGACCTGCACAAGCAGAGGGAGACACAGAGTGGACAGACTGCCCTGGGGACCTTCCCTTGTCCAGCCCAGCCAGCCCCAGGCAGCTGCAGCTTACTGGGTTTGTCTGTTGGAGGTGTGAGTAAGTCCCGGATCTGGGGGTCCTTGATTCCTACTGCCCACCGAAGATCGAGGGTCCTGAGAAGGGGGCAGCTGGAGGTACTGAGAGCACAGACCGCAGACCAGGAACAGCCCGCTAGGATGAGGTCTTTCAGGCCTGGCAGATGGGAGGCAGGTAACAAGTTAGACAGGTTTGGTCGGCTCCCAGGCATCCCATATCTCCACCACCTTTCTCCAGGCACATGAGGAAGCAGGTCCCCTCCCTGCCTGGGGTGGGACACTTGCTAGGTGATAGGACCCAGGCACCCAGGAGCTCCCAGGCTTGCAGAGAGTCTTGCCCCATGACCCAGCCCTCAGGAAGCCTCAGAGCAGGCTGGTGACAGAGGAAGGGACCCCTCCCCAGCCTACACTCACCTGGCAGCCTGTTGACGAGCCACGTAAGCTGTTTTTTTGAGATATTGGTCCAGCTGAGGTCGAGGCTGACCGGCTGCCTTTTGATTATGCCGCTCAGCGCCTGGGGGGTGATGGACTTGCACCTGCTCAAGTCTATCTTTGTCCACAATCTCTTGTCACAGCACCTGGGGACAAGGACAAGGCTGAAAGTTGAATCCCAAGAGTCCCACAGGATAACAGACTGCCAGCAAGGTGCCTGACTTCTGGAAGGACCCCAGCCCTGGTGTGGCTCCAGCCACAGAACAAGGCTGCTCCTCCTGGTTTCCATAGGTTCCCCCAAACATGGGTTGTTGCTGAAGGTATTGGGCCTCCCAGGGTAGCCCCAAAAGTGTTTTGCTGCCACAAAACAAGACTCCAAGTGACAGCTGCATGTCTGCTTGCCCCCTCTGGGTACTTCTCCTGATCTTAAGGATCCTTACTCCCAACAGGCAAAACACTGTGTGTCCCACCCCACAGCCCCAGCACAGCTCGCTCCTTCGCCAGGAGCAAACACTTCTTCTTCCATGAAAATCTGTGGAGAGCCAGGACCTGATGGCAGCACAGCTGAGCCCCTGAAGGTGCGGGCAAGGGGACACTTCTCCACCACACCACTGCCACTAGCTGATGATCAAAGCAGGCAAATCCCTGCTGCTCGGCTGTTAGAAACCTCCCAGTTTCCATTCTGTTCCCAAGCCCTCCATGCACAGCTGTCCCGGTGCCAGCATTGTCTTGGGGCCTGCTGCCCCCCAAGGCATTTCCAGCCAGCAAAGCCATCCCGCCTCAGCCTGCCTTCCTCGTCTGCTGGGAGGGCGAGGCAGCAAGGGAGGCCAGGAAGGGCAAGCACCATCAGGGTGATGGCTGAGGGAAGGGCACTGGCACCTCACAAGGACATGGTGGGGGACAGCTGAGGGGACAGGAGGAAGGCAGAAGGGAACAACAGAGATGGGTGCACACATGGCAGAGGCATCAGGGCTGGCTACAGTAGCACTGCCCAGCTCTGAGGCGAGATCCTCTCCCCTGTTCCCTCTGGGTGTCTGCCACAGATGTACCCCCCAGCCCCAGGATACGTCCCCACACTCACCACTTGTACCAGGTCTTGCACACCCGCATGCACTCGCAGAGCTCCCTGCGGGTGAGGTAGCGGAACACGGACATCCAGACCTCGCGCTGGACGCAGCTCTCCTCGCCCTCCTGCGCCCGGCCCCCGCGCCCGTTCAG